ACTTGTTATACAGACCACGGCGTGTGTGATAATTACCCGCTGTATGCTGTTTCAAGGACGTGCACTTAAAAGTAGAAGACGGCAAATGATTGATGTTGATGGCAGTGTGAACACATGATTGGTTTGTTGTTTAACGCCGCACTCAGCAATATTCCAGCTATATGGCGGCGGTCTGTAAATAATCGAGTCTGGACCAGACAACCCAGTGATCACCAGCATGAACATCGATCTACGCAATTTGAATACGAGTCAGCGAATCTGACCACCCTTTGCCGTTAGTCGCCTCTTACGACAAGCATGGGTTACTGACGATCAATTCTAACCCGACAAGCATGGGTTACTGAAGATCAATTCTAACCCGGATCTTCACTGGTAGTGAACACATGAACATCTGGCATTGATAAACTCGTGTTCTGAGGTTTTCATATTTACACAATAAGAAATTGCTAACTCAAACTTGATCGTCAAGTAGTCACGTATAACAGTACATCGAACCTAAGACCCTGTCATTACCCAAGGGGATTAGTTAAGGAAATTCCTTAACCATATGGTCGGTGGTCAAACTAAACTACTCAAAGGGACCACTAATTTTAGTTCTTTGTAACCGTAGATCACTGTAAACATTTCTACTAAAACCTACAGCATTTGTCCGGGTCCTTTAAGAGTGAGTAAGTGAAATTAGATTTACGCCGCTTTTAGCAATATTCCACCAATATCACGGCGGGGGACACCAGACTTCACACATAGTACCAATGTGGGGAATCGAACCCGAGCCTTCGGCGTGACGAGCGAACGCTTTAACCACTAGGCTACACCACAGCCCCTGTAAGACAGTTGGTAATACCAATTAGTTCGTTATGAGCACTGTGGTTATAAACATAGCTTACTCTATTTTATAAAAAGTGATCTCTTTTCAGCATTGTTGGTAGGGTGAAACTTATTCCTTCCACGGTCGAAAGTAAACGTCTACGTTAAAACAGTTTTAAAATATGTTTTTTAAGGTGATCTCATTAAAGTATTAGAGGAAATAGAAAATTAACATATGAAAGAATAGTGAAGTTTGATAAGCTGGTGTAATTGGATTTCTGGTCGATGTTTTGGCACGAGGATTTCTATTTTCGTTTATAAATATTTAAAAGTCAAGTGACTTCCTTCACCTTTGAACTGCTTTGAAGTGTTGTTTTTAATGGCTATTAGTTCAAAAACACGGTGTTAATAATTTGTTGACATAAAACTGATTTTACTCCATATTCGAGAACTTTAGGTAACCAAGAAATTAAAAAAAGTGAAGGAGTACGAGTTGATACCACCTTTAGCAATATTCCACCAATTAGAGGAGTGGACCCCAGAAGTTAGTTCAAGCTGAGGAACACGGTCCTTCGAAATGACAACATATCGTTTAAACAACTAGCCTCCCCAAATACCCGAACACGTTATAAGAGTCTCAGAGCACAGTGAATGAGTATTAGACTCTACTTAACTTCAATCAATTTCCTTAAATGGAATAAATGAACGGTACACGAAGTGTTCACTACGGTAGCAATATAGCCTTGCTCCAAGGCTGTACTGAAGGCTGAGTCCATGGAATAGTAAGTCTATCATTGGAAGATCAAGTTTAGATAAGCGGACAGTTGGGACGCCACTCTGTTAGAGGGATATTTATTTTTTTAGAAAATATCATTTAAACTATTAATTATTTCCGTAGAGACTTGTGAAAGTCTCAAGGCGGACACGGAGAGAGAGAGAGAGAGAGAGAGAGAGAGAGAGAGAGAGAGAGAGAGAGAGAGAGAGAGAGAGAGAGAGAGAGAGAGAGAGAGAGAGAGAGAGAGAGAGAGAGAGACAGAGAGACAGAGAGAGAGAGAGAGACGTACGTACGGGACTTGTGGATGTCTAGCAGCAATACTGCACGCAGCATGTTTAACTCTCATACACGGGAGTATTTAGTACATTTGTTTTTATAATTGATAATTTTTATTTCATGCTTCCCCTGTTACAGAAAAGGCCGTAGAGCCAGGGAACTTTAAGGTCCTTTGCAAGAAAAGTTCATTGGTAACAGGAAAAACAGGATTTTCTTCTAACAAAGCACAAAACAACAACACCAGACACCACAACACATTCACTCACCAATCACAAAATCAAATATTTACAGCAAGTTTAAGTTCAAGTTCATTCAGCCTATATTTTGCATTTAGTACATTTGGTAGGCCATCTTTAATGTAAACATCGACAGCAAGCCAGTCATTCAGTTCCCACAAGGCGGACATGGTGTCATGGGTGATGAACAAACTCATTATGTAGCGTTTGGGTCTGCAACGTACATGCACGTAGCGTAATAACTAGCTGATGTCGGGGTTAAGTAGCACGAGACGCGTCAAGTGCTCGCATGCGTGTGGCGGAAGTACTCGGCAGTTAGACCGGTGTACATAAGTATATGTGATGTCTAAACATCCGACCGCGCGATGTGGTGGGAACAAACGCTGGGCTGGGGAATGGACATGTAATCGTCTCCTTCGGGCGGATGTAATACATGACGTCACGGTTCCGTTGTTGGGGAAAATGCACTGTGTTTTCTTAGAATGTTTTATTGCACAGGCCACTCCTGTGGTGCATGTCGTCATCGTGTGAGAGGATGTGTAGTTCACGGCGCAGGCTTCTGTCGCTGAATCCGTTTGAGTGGGTGAGTGAGTGAGTTTAGTTTCACACCGCGCAATTGGGAACCGATGACATGTGTCAACCAAGTCAGCGAGCCTGACCACCCGATCCCGTTAGTCGCCTCTTACGACAAGCATGGGTTACTGAAGATCAATATTCTAACCCGGATCTTCACGGGTTGAGTGAGTGAGTGAGAGAAATGAGCTGCACACATTGTACACATATGGGGAATCGAACCAGGGTCTTCAGCGTGACGAGCGGACGCTTAAACCATGAGGCTACAACATCTCCCTGGACCCAGTTTACAGCAAGAACAACATCGGGGACACACGTACAATCAACCTTGCATTGTACACACCTGTACAATGACTAGGGCATCGACTCTTGAATTCTCAAAACTCTCTAATTAAATATGTGATTTAAGTTTATTCAAGTATGAAATGTGCGGGGAAGCATATTAACAGTTCAGGTGACATTTATTGATGAACAGTATTAATTTCCTTATATACTAATTTATATTTACTATATATATGCCCATTCACATATACTGACGTGCCTACCCGTGAAGATCCGGGTTAGAATATTGATCTTCAGTAACCCATGCTTGTCGTAAGAGGCGACTAACGGGATCGGGTGGTCAGGTTCGCTGACTTTGTTGACACATGTCATCGGTTCCCAATTGCGTAGATCGATGCTCACTAGGTTGTCTGGTCCAGACTCGATTATTTACAGACCGCCGCCAAATAGCTGTGACATTGCTGAGTACGGCTTTAAACAACAAACAAACAAACAAATTACTTACGTCTTCGGGTTTGTGTTCCTGAATCCAGTTAAACCCGGCGGTGCATGTTTGCCGGACATCTACTGAATTCTGATACGTCATCAATGGATCAACTGAATAGATTGCCTCCGTGGTGTAGCTCGTCGCGAATAGCTGCAACTCTACTGATGCGGCGTTAAGCAATATTCACTCACTCACTCACTCACTCACTCCGTGGCGTAGCTCGTCGCGAATAGCTGCAACCCTACTGATGTGGCGTTAAGCACTACTCACTCACTCACTCACTCACTCACTCACTCACTCACTCACTCACTCCGTGGTGTAGCGGGTGGGACATATGATCTGCCCGGAGAGCAGATCTGTGGTTCTATCCCCAAAGCACGTCAAACCAACAGACGTTAAAAGATTGAATGTGTTGTATATAGAATAGATTGTGTTGTTCATGAACAGCGGCGTCATGGTATGTCAGTAGGCTACAAACATACAGAGATCCTGAACAATACACTAACCCATACACACTCTCCTACCCAGAGTTCCATGCGGCAAGCCAGCATAGTACCTCTGCCACAGGCCAGAAAAATGTGACGATTCGTTACATCTTGCAATGTCCATTCAATTAATGTACAGATTTCTTTTACTCTTTTATTTTTGACGCGTCTACACATCTAACTAAACATCTTTAATATAATGGTTTAGTTTCACTGAGAATATATCCAAAAATATGTAACACTATTTCAATTTGCGTAGTGATCCTTTGTTTACATAGGTTGTACGGCTCCACGTGCAGTCATCGAAGCCGACGGATAGCAAACGATGCAGCCAGTTTGATATCTAATTATGTACTGTCATAGACCTAACTGTCGCAGTTGTGGAAGAATATATATGTAACAATGTAAAACATTATGAAGAGAACGCCAAAAAGCTTTCGTGAGGCCAGTCTCTTCTTATTATGAATATGCGCGTTTGATTACAAACAAGAGAAAAGTCCGGTCACGTGATATGCAAATTAGCCTGTGGCAGTGATGTTATGTTAAGTCATCGCTGTGCCGGAGTGTGACCCATACACTCACTTTCCTTCAGCCATCCACCATATAGTTGAAGGGAGCTAACTCTGTGGTCGATATTATCACCCAAGGACTACGAGCGATATCCGCATGGAACACACAGCCAGACACGCTTGTATTCACGTCGCTGTGTAAGCTGAGTAGTGTTACTGTCAATGATAATTCCCGATTAGGAACCTTTCGCCCTGAGTTCGAGTCCAGAAAATCAATGATTATGTTTCGTTGGCTCTCTTTGGCCTTGTTTACCTCACCAAGCTGACGCGCCATAATATCAGTGTAATTAATAAAAAAAACAAAAAAAACATACTGATATCCTCAAGACGAGTAAAACGCAACGCACACACTCACCCCTAAAATCACACGCACTCACTAACTCGCTAACTGATAAGGTTGAGACTATTTTTAAGTTCCCTCTTTTTCCCAAGTCACTGTGGCTGTGGACGACCAGGTGTGCGACTGCACTATCTTGCAGGGACAATGTTTCGGGAACGATCACGTGATCACAGAAGTCAGATCTGTATTTAATGACACCTACCAGTCCTCACAGTGTAGAAGAGTACATCATGTTGCATAGCGTGTTGGGTTTGGTTGTCACCGTCGTTGCCGTCTGCAGTGCGGATGTGTGTCGTCTGCCGTCACATCTGTGGTGTAGTTCCAGGAAAACAGCTGAAGACTGTCAAGTAAGGACACAATTAGAAAATGAGTTAAAGTAAATGTCGGTGAATTCAAGGAAAGTTCAGTAAATTTCAGATATCCTGAGTGAGCGAGTGTGTGCGTGCGTGCATGCGTGAGTGAGTGAGTAAGTGAGTGAGTGAGAGTACAGAACTGATAGGCCCAATTACATCTAATCTTTGTCCACATGGCTGCGTCTTCAGACGGATGTGATCCCAAATTCCCATGATTATGTACGTAGCCTTGTGTGCCTGTGGGTTCCACGGTTCTTGTGAAAGACCTACATCATCGGTATTCCCTCCCACAGTGAGCTACCACAAGGTACCCGGGTTAGAATCGATCTTCACTAACCCATGCGTGTTATAAGAGGCTAGTAACGGGATCGGGTGGTCATACTCACTGACTTGGTTTGACACATGTCATCGTATCCCAACTGCGTAGATCGATGCTCATGCTGTTGATCATTGGGTTGTCTGGTCCAGATTTGATTATTTGCAGACCGCCGCCATATAGCTGGAATATTTCTGTGTGCTAGGTAAAACTAAACAAACTGAATCACTCACATGTGCACCATAAAACGTATCCTTGTATAACTGGTGAGCAGTTTGGGGAAAGACTATTTCCTTTTCCACTAAATACAAGATGAAGGTGCAAGGAGACATATTTCCTTAGACCTTGTTTAGTTTAAACATTTAAGCATATCCCAATTGCGTAGATCGATTCTCATGCTGTTGATCACTGACTTGTCTTGTCCAGACTCGATTATTTACAGAACGCCGCCATACAGCTGGACAAAAACTAAACTTATACACTCGCTAACACAAAGTAATATAACCGAAATACCGTTTAAAGCGGCGTAGATCCAAACAGCCTCAGGAGCTACTAATCTCCTTCACAGTATATCTTATAACGATGCACATTACCACAGGTAACACAACAATGTTCAGCCCATGATTGGAGACATCAGGCAGCAGCGCCACCTGTCAACCTGGTGTTGTACTACGAGGCCTTGTGCCCTTTCTGTAAGCAGTTCATCACCGATCAGCTGTACCCAACCCACGTCAAGCTTGATGGGGACATCCTCAACATCACCGTCCTACCATTCGGCAACGCTGAAGTAAGTACTGAACTCCACAGTGAGGATTCGGGATGCGTGTCTTCAGAGGCTACTGAATGAATGAGGTGGTAAGGATCTGAGACTTAGTGCTCAGCGTGTCCCTCAAATCCTTGGGACATTGCTCGTGTTATAGCTGGAGTTAAAGAGTGACTATGGCTTTAGGTCGCTATTACCAATATTCCAGCAATATCACTGCGTAAAACAATGGAAAAAAGAAATCGAAATTAAAAAAATACCATGTACCTTTGAACATCGATTTTTGCACATCGAGATCTGTTGACTAGGACATAAAAGATCTAATATATCAGAGAGCCAAATAAGTCTCTCAAACGCAGTCAATCGTTGCTTTGGGCGGACCGTTTGATATTTGGGGGTTCCGGGATTTTTCTCACCGACCAAGAGAATGAAAGTCTTTGGGGCATCGGTAAATAATTCAATGCATAATCCGTATCCAAGTCAATACGACATCCGTAGCCAGGTCAATGAGACATCAGTAGACAAGCCAATGCGGCATCGGTAAATAATTCAAAGCTTCATCTGTCACCAAGTCAATACGGCATCCGTATCCAAGTCAATGAGACATCAGTAGACAACCAATGCGGCATCGGTAAACAAGCCAATGTTTCATCCGTAGTCACGCCAATGTTGCATCCGCAGGGAAGTCAATGTGGTATCGGTAGCCAAGTCAATACGGTATCAGTAGCCAAGTCAATACGGTATCGGTAGCCAAGTCAGTACGTTATCGGTAGCCAAGTCATAAAAGATTTGGCAATTTTGGAAGCCAACATGACAAAACAGAGAAAGACTGAGCAAACTCTCTTCCATGTTGTACTACCGTTCTTGCAGCAGAATCTGCGGAACCTGTTTCAACAGGACAACACAAGGTCCCACACAACGTCTTGCCTTCGCCAGTACAATCACCAGATTTATCACCTATAGAACTCCTGTGTTATGACTTAAGAGCGCAACAAGGTTCCCTTTTGACAAGGCTCATTTAGCACAGGCATTCCAAGAAGGATGGTGTCTGTTTGTGGAGTGCTTCAATGTCCATGGTTAACATGAACGACATTGACAGACAAGAACTGTGGACACAATACCTTCTTATTCGTTCTACTTCTCGGCACAATTTGTAAAAGTGTTGTTTATTCATTTTATTATAATACACGCATCCTCCTTTACTTTGGTCCCTCTTCTCTTTCTTAGGAACAAATAATATTGGCTGCTAACATTTTTAGCTTAGGTCACTTTAGATTATTACGAGTGTACACGATATTTGACATCAGAGTCAGTAACTCTTTTCAGTGTGTATAATGTAGCCTCTTGAAAAGGGGATTTGTAATTAGTATCATTTATTCTCAAGTGCTGTCCAAGGCTGTACTTTCCGGACTCTATACTGAAGAGAATGGCCAGATTGCGGTCACGTTTGTTTTAGTTCTTACTGAAGACGAGCATTACTGTTTTCCAGAAAGTGTAGGCTTACAGCTGTGTGCTTTTATCTTCAACCGGTATGAACCTGGCGCTGTAAACAAATATATCCTTATCTGTTGACTGATAACTCTTACAGGAGAAGCAGGAGGGCAACAAATGGATTTTCACGTGTCAGCACGGGAGATCGGAATGCGAGGGCAACCTTATTGCAGTGAGTACTGATAGCATGGCGTAAAGTAGCAGATAAGAGCAGGTTCCACCTACGCCCTGATTGTCGGAAAGTGCTGACAAATGAAGGTCAAGTGATTACAGTGACCTGGCTGATATGTCGTGTCTCGGTGGTGGGGACCCTTGTCGAAGGTCCCCATCCACAAAGCATTCGTAACTTTTACGACCTATCGTAACAAAAGTATTATATCACTGGTTTACGAATGGCGTAATGGTAAGAACGCCTGGTGGATAGGGTCCCAGGCTATCAGAAACTGGTTTGCCTGGTCAAGCCTAAGTTTTCACACATCGACCTAATGTAGCTTGAAAGATGCTGACTCCGGCATATAACAACGGTCAGATAAATTACACTGTTGCAATTGATTGGTTTATTACTTCTGTGTTAGAGACATCACGCACCTTAATATAGTGTAAAAACGAACAATTGTTTGGATGCATTTCAACCCTGAAACAAACGCCTTGTCTTCGCTTTGTAATGGAATAATGTTAAGATTATCACTTATTCTGATGGTTAAACAACAAAATCCACACGGTCAGCAAGGCTTTAGTGGTACAAGATCAACTCTATATTAGCGTAAATGAGGCAATTTTTGACAATGTACACAGACTATATAACGATAACCAGAGAAGAGCATCTGTAGATTATCTCTCGCTGTAAAACATCGCTACCAAACGAGCACTGACTGCCATGTATGACTCCTCCACTTCCAGACCTGTGCCTTGAAGACCACGTCCTTCAACTCCACAGCCTACCTGCCCTTCCTCAACTGTATCGAGACCGCCGCCAACGAACACGTCCTATGGCCTGCTGTGCTTAAAAATGTTAGCATTATTCTTTTCGTCTTTTCTGATAGTTTAATGCAACATCTACCCTCAGGTATTACAACTCTCAGTTAACGTATCAAAGCGCTTGTAAAATATAAAATGCCAAATCTAGCTTTACACGCTTCAGGTAATCGTGCCTGTGGATAAGGGTTCACAAGGGTTAACAATGTATCTGCCTACAGACCAGTGGGCTAATATGTGGCATTGCGTGTGCTATTTTATTTCTACGATACAGCTGCATCAGAAATCATCCCTGGATTTCTGCATTATGTCTCTGTACTTTACAAGGGACTGGGGAACGCGGTCTGGGGGTCATTTCTGGGTGAAACATTGTGATAATGGTTTTGAGCTCGAGTGACCGGGGGAATCCTGGAAACATCTTTGTTGTACGTGACAAAATGGATCGGATGGTCAGTGGCTTTATTGAGTTACTATTGAGTTTATTGTGAGTGAATTTCGTTTTACGCCGCTTTTAGCAATATTCCAGCAATATCACCACGGGGGAAACCAGAAACGGGCTTCACACATTGTACCAATGTGGGGAATAGAACCAGGGTTTTCGGTTTGACCGACCAATGCTTTAACCACTAGGCTACCCCACCGCCCCATCTTCTGTAAAAGGTGAAAGCCGTTTGTAAGTTTAGTTATTCGTCTTCAAACCTGCCATGTGCTCTGATAACATTTGGTCTGTCCAGCCAGTGTCCGTGCTCGTGGGTATCAATGACTCCCCCACAATAGAGTCGTTAACCCATTTCCCTCATACAACATCTTCCTCACTCACTCAACAAACAAATCCATCAAGCCAAGCTCATGTTTACAAAGGGCCGTGGCGTAGCCTCGTGGTTAAAGCGTTCGCTCGTCACATTGAAGACCTGGGTTCGATTCCCCACATTGGTACAATGTATGAAGACCATTTCTGGTGTCCCCCACCGTGATATTGCTGGAATATTGCTAAAAGCGGCGTAAAACTAAATTCACTCTCTCACTCATGTGGGCGTGTGTTCAAAAATGGCTTTAAACCCAACTCACTCACTCTTATGACACCAGTGTGCAGTTCGAAACCATGTTTCGGAGGCCGACATCAAGAGCTGCATGAAAAGTGATGAGGGCAACGAACTGGAGCACGAGATGGGCGTGGCCACCAAGAAAGAGGGAGTGGAGTATGTCCCTTGGATCGTCATCAATGGTCAGCACACAAACGCGACAAACCAGGAAGCCCAGGATGACCTCCTCAAGTTGATCTGTAAGACCTACACTGGCCCCAAGCCTCAGGCATGTACTAGTACGCTGACCACAGATCTGAGTGTGTCATATAAACATCCCCAATAATCCAAGTTGGCGCAGGAAACATCATTGATGTAGATTGTTTGTATCAGTGATGTTTTCTGGTCAGAATGATCACAACTTTACAATTCGCACATGATTGTGATGACTCTGTATACAATATTTCACAAAATAAATGTCGTGAATTTTAATTTGTCATAGTTTTTGATAGCCTTCATAAATATGATAATATATCCACACATTTTTGTTGACATTTTCATTGTGAACTTGGATACCATCGCATAATGCTGGATGATATGAAATAGTTATGTTAGCCTTTATGATGTACTTTTTACAGTGGACTTTATAATGAGTTATTAAATATAACACCTTTGACATAAATGGAAATAAATTACACGCAAAGCGGTTGAAAATACTTCTCGAACTCGTCCAAACCCTCGGCACTGAACACTGAGAACGACAAACGTCCTGGACACCTTCAATTTCATACTACGACCCGTGTTCAGTTAAGAGAGGTAAAGACTGTTATTTAAAGACTGGACTTTCTCAATTGTTGGTGTGTTTTGTGAACCGATTAATGAGGTTTTGTTGAAAACCCTTTCAGTTAGGTTTGGTTATTTTCAATTTGTTTGCACGTTCAACTTCTTAAGATTTTGTTTGTACGTTCACACTATACATAGGGATGTATTTAAGGCCAAAGACATTTCTACTGGACAATATATATGGTCAGATGGTGTGAGTAAAATATCCCACAAAATACACAACGACCGTATATACAACTGGAAAATACATCAGTACTGCTATCTAAATATATCATTTAAAATCGTTTTCCCGTATTCACTCTCTGGCGATATACATTTGACAGTTTTGTGGCACTAGTTTGGCTATCCTTTCAGTTGCTTCCTTGACGTTTTTACACATGACCCGGTCCCTTTCGCCATCTGGACAACCACAGTGATGTTATACCAACTCTATATTACTTCTTCTGTCCTCGTTTCTGTGATTTGTGGAAGGTAACACTTAATGCAGATACGAGAAGAGTTCATACAATGTTCCTTGTGTAATAGCAGGGCATTTTCGTTTCGCACACGTTTGACTGGGCCTGAACAATAAAGTATACATGAGGTATATTTGGTTATCACATTGATTTGATATCACACGTTTGATAGGTTCTCCACAAAAGATTAGTAACATAAGATTGGATTAGTTATGATGTAGACCCCCATTTTCTAAATTTTAAACGACAAAGAGAGCCGCCCTCTGTAAAACAAAGCCATCACAAAATGTCTGATTTGATGGTAACCCCACTTATTCAAAACTCTGCCTCGTGGTTTTAAACCTGATGAGCAGAGGCCTGCGTTGATTCTATCGCCTACAGAGTATTATTTGTATAGAAGGAATGCACTACAATATTAGGAGAAGTATTAGTGGGGATTAGACTCAGTGGGAATTCCCTTAAAGGGTTTCCTCTGTAGGCAACCTCCCCTGAACCTGTATTGGTGACCTCCCCTGAACCTGTATTGGCGTGACCTCTGAGGGATTTCCCTTAAACCTCTATAGGTAACCACCTCTGAACCTGTATTGGTGACTTTAATCAGAACTGTAAATAGAGTATTTCCCTTGAACCTGTATTGGTGACCTCCCCTGAACCTTTATTGGTGACCTCCCCTGAACCTGTATTGGTGACCTCCCCTGAACCTGTATTGGTGACCTCCCCTGAACCTGTATTGGTGACCTCCCTGAACCTGTATTGGTGACCTCCCCTGAACCTGTATTGGTGACCTCTCCTGAACCTGTATTGGTGACCTCCCTGAACCTGTATTGGTGACCTCCCCTGAACCTGTACTGGTGACCTCTCCAGAACCTGTATTGGTGACCTCCCCTGAACCTGTATTGCTGACCTCCCCTGAACCTGTATTGGTGACCTCTCCTAAACCTGTATTGGTGACTTTCCAAGTACATCAAATAGGGACTTCCCTTGAACCTGTATAAGTAAGGAAGAGAGTTTTTGTGGATGTCAACTTCTTTATTATGAGGAACACAACGTTTCGGAGTTTATCCTTACTCCTTCATCAGGAACCCGTGAAGATCTGGGTTAGAATATTGATCTTCGAGTAACCCATGCTTGTCGTAAGCGGCGACTAATGGGATCGGGTTGTCAGGATCGCTGACTTGGTTGACACATGTCATCGGTTCCCACTTGCGCAGATCGATGCTCATGCTGTAAATCACTGGATAGTCTGGTCTAGACTCGATTTTTTACAGACCGCCGCCATATAACTGGACTATTTCTGAGTGCGACGTAAAACTAAACTCACTCACTCACTCCTTCATCAGGTGAATTAATGGTATAAGGCAGAGAGCATATATATGTTCATATGTAAGATCAACAAAAGTAATAAGACAACAAAGATGCAGGCTAAACAATGGAACAAATGGAAGCCAACACTGAACAGTTGTAACTGTGCTGAATCGAAGCCAACATTTACCAGTTATGGTGATAGGTTGATAGGTGATGAACAGTGGACATCAATCTCCTACCAAGAGTTCCATGCGGCCAGCCAGCATAGTACCTCTGCCACAGGCCAGAAAAATGTGACGATTCGTTACATCTTGCACCGTCCCTTCAATATAATGTACATATTTCTTAACTCTTTTAATTTTGACGAGCCTAAACATCTAATTAAACATCTTTGATAGAATGGCTTAGTTTCACTAAGAAAATATCCTTAAACATGTAACACTATTTCGATTTGCGTAGCGATCCTTTGTTTACATAGGTTGTACGGCTCCACGTGCTGTCATCGAAGCCGACAGGGAGCAAACGATGCAACCAGTTTGATATCTAAATATGTACTGTCATAAATGTTACTGTCGCAGTTGTGGAAGAAATATATGTAACAATGTAAAACATTGTAAAGAGCGCGCCGAAAAGCTTTCGTAAGGCCAGTCTCTTCTTATTATGAAAATGCGCGTTTGTTTACAAACAAGAGAAACGTCCGGTCACGTGATATGCAAATTAGCCTGTGGCAGTGATGTTATGCAAAGTCATCACTGCGCCGGAGTGTGAGTGGACATCTGGAAGATATAGAGAATGGACAAAGGGCAGATGGGCGGTAGCTGGTGATAGCACTAATAGATAAACGCAATAGAGATTGACAAATTGAGGCCAAGTACCACCAAATCCACCAAGAACAAAATAACTGAATTATTAGTGCTCTGTGTTAGTCTCAATGATAAGTCCCGATTAGAAACCTTTCGTCCTGAGTTCGAGTCCAGAAAATCAATGATTATGTTTCTTTGGCTCACTTTGGACTTGTTTACCTCACCAAGCTGACGCGCCATAATATCAGTAATTAATACAAAACAAAACAAACGTACTCACATCCTCAAGACGAGTAAAACGCAATGCACACACTCACACCCACAATCACACGGACTTACTAACTCCCTAACTGATAAGGTTGAGACTATTTTTAAGTTTCATCCTTCTCCAAAGTCACTGTGGCTGTGGAAGACCAGGTGTGCGACTGCACTATCTTGCAGGGACAATGTTTCGGGAACGGTCACGTGATCACAGAATGCAGATCTGTATTTAATGACACCTACCAGTCCTCACAGTGTAGAAGAGTACATCATGTTGCATAGCGTGTTGGGTTTGGTTGTCACCGTCGTTGCCGTTTGCAGTGCGGATGTGTGTCGTCTGCCGTCACATCTGTGGTGTAGTTCCAGAAAAACAGCTGAAGACTGTCAAGTAAGGACACAATTAGAAAATGAGCTTAAGTCAATGTCGGTGATATGAAATCAAGGAAAGTTTAGGTTCTGTGGGTTCCACGGTTCTTGTGAAAGGCCTACATCATATGCATTTCCCCCCATAGTAAGCTAACACAAGTTACCCGTGAAGATCCGCGTTAGAATTGATCTTCAGTAACCCATGCCTGTCGTAAGAGGTGACTAACGGGATCGGGTTGACACATGTCATCGTATCCCAACTGCGTAGATCGATGCTCATGCTGTTGATCACTGAGTTGTCTGGTACAGACTCGATTATTAACAGACCGTCGCCATATAGCTGGAATATTGCTGAGTGTGGCATAAAACTAAACTCACTCACTCACTCATTCACTCACTCACATGTGCACCATAAAACGTATCCTTGTATATGGTGATCAGTTTGGGGAAAGACTATTTTCTTTTCCACTAATACAAGAAGAAAGTGCAAGTAAACATATTTTCTTAGACCTTTTTAGTTTAAACATTTAAGCATATCCCAATTGCGCAGATTTATGCACATGCTGTTGATCACTGGATTGTCTTGTTCAGACTCTATTAGTTACAGACCACCGCCATTTAGCTGGAATATTGCTGAGTGCGGCGTAAAACTCAATCACTCACAGTATATCTTATAACGATGCCCATTACCACAGGTAACACAACAATGTTCAGCCCATGATTGGAGACATCAGGCAGCAGCGCCACCTGTCAACCTGGTGTTGTACTACGAGACCTTGTGTCCTTACTGTAAGCAGTTCATCACCGATCAGCTGTACCCAACCCACGTCAAGCTTGATAGTGACATCCTCAACATCACCGTCCTACCATTCGGCAACGCTGAAGTAAGTACTGAACTCCACAGTGAGGATTCGGGATGCGTGTCTTCAGAGGCTACTGAATGAATGAGGTGGTAAGGATCTGAGACTTAGCGGACAGCGCGTCCCTCAAATCCTTGGGACACTGCTCGTGTTATAGCTGGAGTTAAAGAGTGACTATGGTTTTAGGCCGCTATTACCAATATTCCAGCAATATCACGGCGTAAAACAACCCCAAAGAAATACATTTTAAAAATATCATGTACCAATGATCTGTTGATAGGGACAGAAAACATCAATCTCTCACTCTAATATATCAGAAAGTCAAATAAGGCTTCAACCGTTACCAGCACTCAATCGTTGCTTGGGGGCGGACCTTTTAATATGTGGCGGTCCCCGGATTTTTCGGATAGTCATTGAAGAGTTAATATCTTCTTCACTAATTCTCACAGAGAGTACTAGTACCCAATTGGATACACGCAAATTGTTAAACAATATTGACAATATTTCTGTCACTTCTTGTTGCTGTTTTATTGAAGAAAGTGTCAAGAACGAAAATCAGAAATTGTAGCACTCAAGGGGAGCTTGTAAAGATTCCATCA